AAAAAAAAAAAAAAAAAAAAAAAAAAAAAAAAAAAAAAAAAAAAACATGAAGAAAGAAAAGGAACTAGATAAATAAATAAAATATCTGTATCAATGTCTAATATCTTTTTTTTTTTATTATTATATGAACAATCATTCAGAGGATGTCGCCTGTTGATGTAATATGAGAATGGTCGAAAGGAAGTGAAGAAAGAGGAACGGATAGGGACGCAGCCGCAGGCTTGACCAACTTTACCCCATTGAGATTTGAAACCGCGTGGCCACATTTACTTGGTACACGCGATTCTTACCTATTTGGCTGCTCAGGCGGATAATTTTTAATTCATTTTCACAAAAAAAGAAAAAAGTCATCCAGACATGCAGAAAAACAATGGACTTTTTCATGTTTGTTAATTTAATTTTTTATGTGTGTTTATATTTACAAAAAACAAAAAGAAAAAAGGAGCTGGATTTGTTGTCAATTACAGTGTATTGCACTGCATAATGGCTTCCGCTATAGGGACCATCGTAAACCATAATACAATGAAGCAAAAGATGTAAACACAATGTTAGGTAATCATACAATGTGTAACGACAAATTATGTTAGAAATGGTGAGAAAAGGCAGCAGAAAATAAGCGAAAGAGATGGGAAATGAAAAAGAAAAAAATTACAAATCAAACTGTGAGGAAACGACATCGCCATGTTTTTTTGATACAACTGTTGCAAATTTTGGTTAAAACAAACGAACCGAAACCTTTCAGAGTACATATACACGACACAAACATACACATACACCATTATAGGGGAAGAATTTATCAATGAATATCAACGGCCAATGGCTTAAAACATTATCCTCATTATCCTCATTCATTTTCTAACAGCACGACTGTGCGTGCGATATATTTTGTAACCTCATCATCATCATTATCATCATTATTACCAACATCTTGCTCCATAAATGTATCTTCGCAGTTTATAGTTCACGTTATTACCTCATCAAAGACAAACGTGCATTTGTAGCAGTCTCTCTACGTATACATACATATACACATGCATTTGGCTGCCACAGAGTATTTTGAATGATCGCTTAGTATTTACGTCGTTGTATAGCCGATTATTTGTGAGATTGTAGCGGGAAAAGCAAAAAAACAGTAAAGTTTTCGTTTAGTTTCTTTTTTTGTGTTTGTTTTTGTGTTTTTGGTTTCGCGTGCATTCACATGTTGATCTGTAAGCATCGTAAATATATTAGTTTGGGGAAAAAGAAATCCATTATTTTTTCGGTA